CTGTCGAAACTATATTAAAAACATAGAAAAGGATATGACGAAATTATTTTGAGAAGGTTTCGGCAGGCATCTATAATATAAATGCTTAAACTTAAATACTAATAGTTACAAAAGTTTATAATAAAATTAAAAAAAAACCAGTAGTTTTATAGCTTATATTATAAACTTTCATTTTATTAGTTTTATTTTTTTATAATTATATATTTAAAAAGTATTTACAAATTTAATCACATAATTTATTTTAAGTATAGGTGAAATGTATCATAAAAAGAAACTTTTTTTATAATTTAAACTTATTTAAAATTTTAAATATATAACTATATATAATATACTTATATAGAGAATAACTATATAAAGTTATGATTGTATTAAATAATATTTGTATATAAACTAAAGAATGGTAACTATTCTAATCTAAAGTATAATTTCAGCTATAGTTTTTAATAATAATCATAATTTATTAATTTATGTTCAATTTTTTAATATTTAATTTTTGTAAAATACATATAATATAATATTAGCAATACAGAATTCTATTAAGTAATTAATATGTAAGATAAAATAACATTATATTTGATATACCTAGTATTTGATTGTTCTTTACTATACTTTAGACAATAATATTATTTACTTTATAAATATTAATTTAATTTTTATAAAAATTAAGATTTAAGTAATTAAACCTATTAATAACTTTATTTAAATTACCAATAATGATTTTTTTGAACTGAAATACTAAAATTAGTTAAAATAATAAAAAAGTTAATTTGTATATTATTATTTTACAAAAAATTGATTTATTTTATAAATACTAAACTAATTTTAATAAAATTTATTCAAGTAATTTTAGATTTGCTAAATAACTTTATTTAAATTATTCAAAAGTGATTTTTTGAACTGAAATATCAAATTATCCAAAATAAATTTGTATAAAAGAGAAATTTTGCTATAATTTCAATATAAATAAACAAATAATATAATACAAGTGATTAACAATAGTAATTTGAAATATATCAGTTATATTTTTTGATAAAAATTAGTGATATTTAGATTTATCAATTTAATTTGATTATACAAATTAGCTATAAATTATATAAGTCAAATTTTGACTGATTCTTAATAATATTTAATTTTAGATTAAATTTAGGTTGAATTCAATTGATTGATTTATCATGTCTAAATTTTGATTTTGATTAATATATGCGCTTTAAACTTATTTTATAAGAATTATTTAAAGCTATTTATTAATAATAATAGGATTATACTTGATATTATTAATAATATATATATATATATTTGACAAATATTTATATATCTTATTCAGAAATAAGGTTAATTAGTGATATAATCGAATGTGAGAACGTTATAATTTGATAAAAAAAAATATTAAGTCGCGCAATTTCGTATACCAAGTGAACCAACCACCAAAGATGATTACCTGATTTGGATTTAAAATATAAAGTTCACGTAAGCTGGATTATCATCCAATTTAAAAATTCCGACTGATCAAGAATGTTGTTACACAACATTAAACTAAAATTTCGCATCTCTCAATGAAGCTCTGAAATATAGAGTTGTTTTTAACCTCCTAACTAAAGCCTTTCAATAAAAAACAAATAACGCACAATGACAACAAACGACGCTTTAAACTTATCAGTATCTCCGTCGCCTCCTGCTTGCAGGCCAAAAGAGCATCCAGTTAGTCCAGTAGATGTAATACCTTCAAGATCCTCGTCGCAGGAAGGGCATTTTTTAAATGATTTTGATTCTGGAAACGAAGTTCAAGGGATTTATAGTGATGATAATGGAGGTTATAGTCTTGTCACTCCCGCAGGTTCTCCCTACAGAATCAAAACTCCGAAGAATGTTCAGTCGTATAGTCCACCCCATAACTTTTATCCGTATGAAATCACATATTTCGATCGCTCTTATAGTTCGTTATTCTTTTTCTCATTTTTTTTTTTAAAAATTTCTTTTTTTAGTGAGCACACATTTGTAGGATGTTCTTCGATAACTGACTATGAGATAAAAGACAAACTTGGCGAGGGAACATTTGGGTATATAAATCTGTGCAATTGTTAATCAAAATCTTTACGTGTAATACATTCTTATTGTCATGTTACATCATTTATTGTTATTTTCTTAAAACATCAACATGATAGTGAGGTTCACAAGGGTGTTCATAAAAAGTCTAAGAATATTGTTGCTTTGAAGAGAATCTTGATGCATAATGAAAAAGAAGGTATTCCAATTACTGCGATCAGAGAAATAAAGATTCTCCGGCAACTTAGTCATACGAACGTTGTCACGCTGAGTGATATGGCGTTTGAATATGGTAAAAAGATTTATATATCAAGTCGATTATAACTTGTAACAAATCTTAAAATTATTTATTTATAAGGTGATAAGGAAGATCAGCCTTCGATATATATGGTATTCCCTTATATGGACCATGATCTAGCTGGTCTTCTAGAGAATAAAGATGTTCAATTCGCTCCTTCACAAATCAAATGTTATTTAAAGCAATTATTGGAAGGAACCTTCTACCTTCATCAAGTATGTAGTTATACTCTTTTGTGGAATACAATAATTAAATCTTGAAATATATTTTAAATGAAATCCTTTAATCAGCAAAAAATATTACATCGCGATCTAAAAGGTTTGTTGTTTC